TTTATCCAACAGATGTAATATTTTGCTTATGTCCATTTGAAAGTGAATCGATGTAATAGAGATGATAATGATGCTGGCTAATGTGATCACTTTGTTACTGTATCACATAAAGATTTTTCCTTTATTATTCGTTGTCTGCACACATTCTTTCACTCCCACTTTCTCTCTCTCTATTTCTGTATGTTTCTATGTATGTGCTGTTTCATCAGATTTTCTTTTATATATTGTCTAACTTTTACTCTTAAAACGTGTTTCCAGAATTATTATCTCTAAACGTCATTTATAAACAAATCTAATCACTTATTGATTAATTGATCGACTGATGTGCTTTTATGATAATAGATGGAAATAAAACTGGAACAGTATGCATCAAGTTCTTCTTGTTCCTTATTGGACTAATTTATGTACATGCTGTGCATTCTGTACCCAAATTATTAGTGATTGATTATAGATGAGTGAAGTTTCAAAGTGCTTCCCTTCAATTTCTAAAATACCAATGCATACTTTGCTATCGGTTTAGTAAACAATATTGAAGACTATTTATACTAAAAGCTTTATCAATATGCAACTTTAATGATCCGAGGATGCATAGTGAACTCATTACAGTCGGTTTAATTAATCGTCATCGTTTTTACAGTTTTAACAAGAGTTAAGTGGATAATAAGAAAGTACATTTATCTTGGATTATTTCAATATAAAGATTTCAAAATATCGAAAAATATTCTAACAGTAATTCATGAATGTTGTGTGAAAAGAGCACGACTAAATGATGATTTCTTGTAAGTCAGTAAGTTATACATGATTGCATTATAGATCCATACATTATAGGTCATAATGCAACATGAAACTAATAATTTAGGAAATAGAATTGTATTATTTTGGGTCAGCATATAAAGACCTATAATTTGAAGGTACTTTTCATCAAACAATCGAAAATAAGGAATGAATGGATAGTTGTTTCGTTCGAGTCAAATTCGGAACCTATAAGGAGTGCCCCCGTACAACCCTATCTGGAATCTAGCTCAGGCCTCTCAAAGACCAAGTTACTATTAAACTGATAGGTTGATGTCGAACTATTCAAATGTTCATTTCCAATAAACTCATTCTGTTATGAACACAATGCAAATGTGCATTAATATGGTCTGTCACTAGAGTGGAACTCAAATGTAAGCCACATATTTCTAGAAGACACTATTATTGGTGAAATGAATACAGGTGAAAGTGTGGACCTATGGTCCTTAACAGCAGAAGAAGTGAAGGTAAGAAAATTTCGAAGGATAATGGAGCTACAGAAATGCTGATGATCGTGGTTGCTGTTTTAGTCCACAAACATATAGATCTCGATTGCTTGTACTAACTGGTTTCGAAATGCAAGCGCACAGATTTCGGTGGATTTGGTTACACCATAAGGATATCAAATTTTGAGATATGAAGATGATACCTGTCAATTCATGCCCTACATGACATGATTATATGATTAAAATATTGTACGGATTCACAAACTCACACATGATATACTATCATGATGATGTTTGATAAACAATGTTGCAATAAGTTGGCCGATAATTATTTGACTCAACTTACCAAGCATACTTCTAAGGTTTAGAGGCAATTCACAACAACTTGGAGTTACTCGAAAGAGTCCCCATTACTTATTCGCTGATCGAAGTGTAGTTGTGCGTGTATTTAATATTCGTGACAATATTTGTTCGAAAAATTCACTGATTCATTCATAACTGGTCTAAACGGTAATTCGACAGTTTATCATTGCACATTTAATATAATCAAACCTAATGTGTTTGTTACCCTTGGTTAAAAACAAAGGTTTCAAAGTGGTAGAGAGAATTTGTAGCTCAGGTGGATGATTTTGATGGAATTTCGTTCTCTAACCTGGATGGTTTGGTCGTGGAGCTTTCTATCTGAAGTTTGTTTTGATGATGTCGTTCAGAAGAATGATGAAAGCTACACGACTAAGCCATTCAGCTCAGAGAACAAAACTCTTTGAAAGGTTTCAAGGATACTTCACTAGACAGAAATCAATATTTATATTTATTTTGTATGAAAATAGTAATTACAGAATTCGTGACAATTTACAGACATGGTTAGATTGACATAGATGGTAATCTCAAATGGAGAAGACATATATGATATTACATTGTTTGAAGTGTTCGACATTTTTCACATGTATTGCAACAATGCATGATGTCAGTCGGGAACTACTAATTCTCTTGTTAAGTGGACATTCTATTGATGGATATTCGGTGTAGTTTGAAAATTCGACGCCAGTAATTTTTTCCCATTATTCTAGAGATAACTGGAGTAGTGTTAATAGATCGATAATTCTTCATGTCAGTCTTATCTCAAAATCTGTAACATGTTATGATGTGCGCGGTTTTCATCATTAAGGGTCTCCATAGTGAGGAAGAAAGAGTGTGTGTTTGTGTAAACTGCTTTAGAGGAAGTAGTATAATATTAGATCAATCATACTTATAGAGAATGGATGAAATACCATCTACTGCATGACTGTTTGAGGCTTTGAGGGAGTTTATAGCTTTACTAATATTTAGATGAGTGAAAAAAATAGATTTTATGGAGTTAGCACTACGAGTATTCCAGTTCATTCCAGAGTAAATGAAATCTCCTATAGTGACCTTCACATTTAGAGCAGATACATGTATAAATGTATTAACAATCTTGTCGTTCACGTTAGTAGAAGTGTCGGCGGTTCTGTATATAGATCTCACGAGTAGACCGATTCGGAGTGTTGACTGATATCCAAACTGATTTAGATTAACTACTCAAGAAACTGTCTTTAACTTTATCACGTTGAGCAACTCGAGGCATATATAAGACAACTATCCCCTTGTTTAGCCTCTCTGCTACAGCGATAGAACTGGTAGTTCCGGATATTTGGTTCTGAATCAGACACTGTCGGACAGCACCATGTTTCACTGACAAATATGAAAAGAGGTTTACCTATTAAAGTCATGGTTCTGGAGGTGGAAATCTTATTTGGAAGTGAATGTGCATTGATTAATAATAGGCTTCTAAAAGAAGTATGGTGTATAAACAATCCGATAACCTTCTAATTGAAGTTATGCAATTTAGTGGTGACTAGAATATGGCTCGATTTGATTGTCCGAACGTATAGGCTATGGCTTGAACAAGTTGTGGTGAGAGGGGGACCAGATATTTCTGTAGGACAAAAATATCATTATTTCGGTATGGTAAGATTATTTACAGAAATCGATATGGCGGACAGTTAAGAAAGTCATCTGCTCGTTGAGGTTGAGTAAATGGTGAGTAACCTAGCAGTCCATCTTGCCCATCGGGAAATTGAAGAAGATAGTTCTTTCTTGTAGGTTCAGCATACAAAAGATTTTGGTTCAATCGTGCGACATCTTAGTTTCTTGCAGTTTGTCCAGTAATAGGTTTGGCTACATTAAGGTTGTGGTGGGAGTCTTGTGTATCAGTTGAGTAAGGTATGTTTCATTGATTTAAAAAGTGAAGTCTTGACAATTCACCTATCGTTTGTAGATTTAGTTCAGGATGACGAAATGGTGGATCTACCAGTTCGTATCCGTGTGCCCATATCACCACCAGTATGATTAGAAAGCACAAACCTGGTGTTCTGTAGTCTATATTTGTTCGATTGAGCCTCTACAATATTTTTGGTACCGGTTTTTGAACAAGGCACTTCTATATTTAATTTCTTCTCATATGATTTAGATGTATCAATCTTAACGGTGTTTTTAAAAGCTTCGTGTTAGGATTGGATGTTTGAATATGCGCTTCTTCTGTTCTTTTAAAAGATATCGAATCAAAAGGCATAAGATCTGTGTCGACATTTGGTATACATTGGTTATCTGAGGTTGCAACAAGCTATGTGAAGTCTGCGGCAAGTTAACATTCTTTATTGATAATTTAGAGGATTGGCTGACAAATGATATGCTGGTCACACAAGTGGGTCCTGTCGATAAACCAACTGGATCTGTTATAGTTTATACATTATTATTTTCGTCTGAGATGGAGTTTGTGTTAGTCTTTGATTGGTGGTCTTATCTGAGACTAAACGGGGACTCCTGAACTTATAAATTGCACCGTTCGGATTCCTTCAGTAGTTCAGCTGCTAAATGTGAATCGAACCTAAACAAGATAGGGCACGAGAACTTCTGACGGTTTTACTAAGATAAATACATTAGCATGGTCTATTGTGAAAGTTAACTGCTCTCAGTATCGAATATCCCACTGGTTTGGGCGTGATTTTGTCAGGTACCTTATAGAAAATGACGTTATTTCCAGAAATAAGTCGCCTAGCAATAAAATCGGTAACAGATGCTGATTTAATAATATCTTCAAGATCAGTGGGAGTCTTTGGTATGGAGCAGAGGCAGAAACAGATTTTGTATTATTCGAGCTATCAAAGCTTTCCCAGGCTCTTTCCTTCGATCGGCCACCCGTTATCACTTTAGTGTTATGCTTAATTCTATATATACCTAATGTACCAGGAGTAAATAATAACCATATACTTATTTGCAGAGTGCGTTTTATTGTAACACAATGATCAAACGTAAAGTAAAGAATTTGTCCAAAGTTCACACATTGTTCTTAGGATAGAAAGATACTCATGATTTTAGAGAAACTATACACAACACAGCACACATCTTAAAAAGTGTGTGAACTAGTCTTTCTTCTGAGTAGACCACGTGATTTCATGTTATCAAGGATATAATAATATCAGCCTACAAGAAGATATTACATTTCGATGAACCAATGAAAGTGAATCTTAAGTTAACTCAAGGTTAATCTTGTCGGTCAAGTGGTACCATTGATCGAGGTCCATAATGATAGTCTATAGACAAGACAGCATACTTAGGGTAGAATATTTATAATTAGAATTCTGATTGGCGAAGTTATCAAGTGAAATCAATCAATCGCTCACACATATCAGTGATATAACAGTATAAATTATAGAAAAATTCTTAATTATATATATTCATAAAATGGGGACATTTCTAGGACATATTTATCCAGGACTTCTTGTAATAATAGTAGGATTACGTAATCTATGGATTAACTTGAGATCATTTTATACTGGAGAATGTAATCATAACCAGTTAAATGGAAAAAATGATTGTCATAATCCTCATGATTTAAAGAGTAATCTAAGAGAATCTATATATTATATTATAGTTGGAATTATATGTTCTGCGAATGAAATAATTCCTTGTTTAATATATGATGAATATTATTTTGGAGGACATAGTTATCAACATATGACAATATTTATTGCGATATCACTTTATGGTGTGGTTCGAATTATTCTGTCTTACAAATTACCACATTTATTCAAGTATGTTTAATTTTGACATGTTTCAAATATTAATTTAATGGTTACATATGGATAACCATAGTTAGAAATATTTCAATGTAATAGATTGGTTAACAATTGTTCACATATGTGTGCAAGAACTATTGATATCGTCATTTTGATAATAATATTCAATGTTAAAATAATCTACTTTGTTGTAGAAATAATATATTGTTAATAGTGAGTAAAACTCCACAAACACAAAGGGAAGAGAGTCTAGAAAACAAAGCAAAATGAACCGCGGTTGGCTCATATGCCTTCTTCAGTTCGTTTCACTTTGTTCTCTACCATCAGTCCCACTCGCTTCCCTGTGTGCTTGCTTTTTGCGTGCTTATGGATTTTTACTAATTACTAACAATATACTATTTCTACAATTGGTGTTGTGGCTTTTGAATAATCTCAAGTAAATTCATAATATTACTAGGAGATTTGACCTGCGTAAATACTCAGTCAACTGGATATTATCTATTGGAGTCAGATACAGAGGAATTAACCTCTACATATATTGTACTGTAGAATTAGTTGACTCCAATATCACAGTATACCATTGTGATATTGGACATTAACCTTTATCTACCTGTTAAATATTACTTATTTACCGTTACATTTTAGGCAGATTTCTGATTTATTTTACCTTATGGTGGGATGTGCTGTATACTTTTTGCTGATGTTTCATCTACACGAACGAACTCCATTCGATACACATGTGCATATTATTTTGATTCATACAATATCATTTACAATTATATCACATATTGCCCAGATTATTTCCAATTCTAATCCAATCTTCAGTTTGATACATAATTTTTGTTTCATATTAATTGGTTCATGGCTTTGTCATGTGAGTTCTACAGTTTTATCATTTTAAAATGCAATTTAGAACAACATATATAAACGTACAATATTGTTTTCGATTAGATCCTCATCAGGCTTTACTCTAATATACAGTAATATTTATTTGCATATACGAAATTTCAAAAGGGGTTTTATAGATATTATAGTAAATTTAATAGTTAAAATCATGAGTTAATTGAAGCTAGACCACTACGGAAAACCTGGAAGTACTTGACGGTCGTTTCCTCCTATTGTGGGACACCTCAGCAGTGCGCATCCAGAACCCCACCCCGTGAGATTCGAACCAAGGACCTATTGGTCTCGTGCGCGAATGCTTAACTTCTAAACCACTGAGTTGGCTAGCGTTCAACAGTGTTAACGTCTAACTTCAACTAATCTAATAAATTGAGCGACACATCCACTACTGTCTTCAGGGAGTTACTATCTCAAAATTGACTCATGATCTCAACTATTAAAATTGCTATAATATCCACAAAACCCCTTCTAATATTAATCAACATATGCTCACTAGTGACGGTCTCCAAGAGGTATTCCCTAGAGTTCTAGTGAGAAGCAGTGACCAGTGGAGTTCAACGGGGTCTGTTTTCAGATAGTAACTCACTGGAGACATTGGTGGATGTGTCGCTCAATTTCATGGATTAGAGGAAGTTGGAAATTAACACCGTTGGATACCGGCCAGCTCAGTGGCCTAAAGGTTAAGCTTTCGCTCGCGAGACTGATAGGTCCTGGTTTCGAATCTCGTATGGTAGGATCGTGGATATGCATTGCTGAGGAGTCCCTCGACAGGATGAAATGGCTATCCAGTGCTTCCAGGTTTTCTATGGTGATCTAACTTTAATTAATTCATGAATTCAACTCTTGAATTTAAACAACCAAGCAATTGCATTGTCATATACCATAAGAAATTCGAGACAAACTTATGAAGTTGTATTATTCTACAGTTTATGTTAATCTTGTTGTGTCCAGAATGATTAACGAGATCAGTTGCATGAGACTGATTTCATCTTTATTTTCAAAACACATTCACTCGAAACTAATCTTTCAGCTAGGGAAATTATATACAAGATCCCTGTCACGATTTGGAATAATTTGACGTTCTTGATCATTCAAAGCACATAAAGTAAACTGCTCTGATATATTTAAAGTAATGAAAAATCCAAATACGTTATGCAATACATAAAATTGGATGTTTCTTTTATGGTACCTATTGGTGAGTGTTCACCAAATAATCATCTGAAGTCCTTATAGATTATCTGACAAATCTATGTATTTCTCAGTAAATAAGAATCACCTTAACACACCACACAACATTTGTGTGCTCACTTAGTCTGAATCGTTCATTGACAACAATAATAACAGAACTTTAATTAAGATTCTAAATGTCATTAAATTCAGGGCTTCTGATGTTATACTACTACGTAGCTGAATTGCATACTATCATATGTTACCTAATGTTTAATGTAGATAAAATCCATTAGCGATTGATGAATGGGTTTGGGATCTTCTCAAAATACCGGAAACGAATTGTCTTTAAGCTGTGTGTGCATCCAAATATTTGAATAATAACAAAAAGTTATATTGTGAAAATTTTTAAGTGTATTAAATAGACTATTCTGCCGGATTACTTCAGTGATTAGAAAATGATCAACCCACTTACTTAACTTGGATCGGAGATACAGAATAATGTGAATTGAGTGTGATCTAAAAATTAGCTCTCGTGCAACATATCGAATAGATATTAGAAAACATTTAGTTTACCGCTACATTCAGCGGTTTGATTTAAATACATGTATACACGCTTCCTATAGGTATACCTAACATAAAAAGGTTAAGAATTGGCAAGAAGCTGAAATAGAAAAATTGAATAAAGTGTACACACAATATGAATAAACAAATATCTATTCTTCTGACATAGAAGAGAATTAATTATAAGCTAAGGGCTTCAGAAAGTGCGTAACCGACTTCATTGAATAGCACGTCTTGTTTGTCGTCTTTCATCTACCAATTGGACTTTAGTTGGCATGAGAGCACGGGGACAAGATACGTCTCAATTCCAACGACCTATCATTTCATGATTACAGGAAACACTGATGATTTTTTTGTTTCTGTGTAGCAATATGCTATCTAAAAATGTGCTTGGTTAACAATAGAAGAACATGAAACCCATCTATCCTACCGAGTTTTATTTATTCCAACAAATCAACTCCTTACAAAGTATAAACAATAGGTGTTATATCCCGATGAGAATAATGGATGGTAACTGCCGGAATCTATTTCTTGAATATTACTATACGTATACTTTTATCGTATAATTGTTAGATAACTAAACTATTCATATTCGTGTTCCTCTTATCATAAGCTTTATTTTGACCTATGAACTATTATTATACAATTTACTATTCTTAAATTATTCCCAGTTTATTAATTACAATCTCCCACACTCACAGCCACCTCTGGCTAAATGTTGTACAAATGTTGCTTCCTATTTTATGGTATGATGTGGTCTGTTTGTTTTGCATATAAACCCAGTATGCTCGAAATATAGGATTCATATCTCGGATGCTGAGATTGGTGTTGTGGACTTAACAGACAGGGCTAAGCGGGAAGCAGGACCGATAAGGAATCTAGTCTGTTCGTACAGGTTTTATGCGTCATTTGTCCGGTTGATAATTCACACTATAGGACACAGGGCACAAATTATAATAATAGGTAAGAAGGGTGATCATTTTGTAGTGCTTTTGGAGGTGAATATTTCAGTAGAAATACTACATCAATGATTAGATGCAAAATTTATATCGAAGTGATCACAGAAACGTCAGCTAACAAGTAACAATTGTATTGAGATCTAAATTGAATATATAGGTCAAGTGGCATATTTCATGACTTCGTACCGTTCGCTTTTTAGTTCAAAATAACCCTCTCCAGCTTTCACTATTTCTTTGTATTCATTTAATTGTAATAATGATACACCACTTGCGTTTATTTTTTGGTAATTAGATTGCATTCTATCTTTATCCACCATGGAGTTGGTTAACTGTTTGGGATCAGAATGACATAATATCCATTATACATGTGAATAACATTCTCTCATATCATATGATAATGATCTGCTTGACTATAATCATAATGATGTTTATTTTAAATTGGAAAAGTCGGCATACAATACAAGCGTCTCGTTGTTTTTCTGAACACAATCTACAAAGATCCACTGTGAAACAATGTCATTCATGAATAGTTAACGAGTATTGTTCCATGAGCAGAAGTGATAAATAACATTTTCAAATAAATATGGTTGTGAATTTCTGGAGTTCTTTTGTCACATTACAGTCTTATTGATAGATAAATTTATCAAAGTATCTTCATAATGACATTACAAGAATTTGTTGTTCTTCAGATATATATATATATATATATATATATATATATATATATATACCAAAATGTTGGTAAATTTTTTAAAAGAAAATAAAAGTAATGGTTGTGTGTGAACGTTGTTCTCCCCCCCCTTTAAACTAGATTTTCAAAAGTTGTTTAATGAAATCAAGAATAATGATAAATCCTTTCATTGTCGGCAGTTCACGAAAACTTCACCAGATTCTCTTGAATTCGAATGCATTATTTGAAATGAAACTCATAACTTTATTATTTCTGTCAAGCAAAACAATGTTTTGTTGTGTAACATGATCGGTTATAACTTTTCAATTACATCCCAGCTTGACCAGTAATTAAAATCTGCATATAATTAATCATTACCTAAACAATATGTGAAGTCAATGTACATTCTCCTGGAATTATAAAAAAATAAACTACGGTAGTCACTATCATACGACATCAATTCTGTTGCCTCATGCATTTTCTTCAGATCGTTTCAGTCCTATTAAATTGAATCATTTTCTCACGATTGAATAGGTTTCATAATTTCACGTGCGAAATATTCATAGCTTTTATATCAATGATTTAGCACTATAGTAACCGCAGTAAAATAATATCAAACCATGATGACAAGTGTTTGGAAGGAATTGAAACAGTCAGTCGTTTGCTTCGATGAGCCTCTTAGCACTCCAACCAAGATGGAACTCAGCTAACAAATCCCAATCACAGTCAGAAATCCGTGTTCTCAATTTCACCGATAACGGTAATTAGAAAAGGATTAGAGAATTAAAAGGGAAATGTTGAAGTATTTGCATAGGTGTTCCACACATCACCAGAGAATGAACAGCTATGTATTGAAATTCATCAAGTGCAAAGTGTACCACTTTTGTATCAAACAGTAATCCTAGTGAATGGAAGAGAGAAATCCAGTAACTCGTTCGCCCAGTAAGTAACTGATAAGGCTGTGGAGAGTAAACTAAAAGTTAAATACCCAACATGAACATCCATATTTTGAAACGTACACATCTATTAATCAGAGAATGGAAAATAATGTACTTTTTAGAATTACACTTCTACACATGATCAGCTGTTGCTTTTGAATTGTCAGAGTATTCAGTACTGATGATAATATCTGGTTCAATAACTAATGACTGACATGAATATTTCCTAACACTCTCCTCTGTGTTAATTTCTTTCCCTCTTTCTTATACTAGGTATGTATTACTATTGTGATCGACAAGGATTTGAAGATAATCTAATTACCGCAAACTCATCTCATAAACAATCACATGATCTATACAATCACATTCTAGTTTGTATTCTAGCTGAACCAGATGCTCCACTACTAGGTCTGCATTCATTTGTTATGCCATTAAGGGCAAGCAATTTCCATCCTAATCAATTAAGAACTATACTGTTTCTAGGCGATATAAAATTTCTACAAAGAGAATGGTCAAATATAGCGAATTTCCCAAAAGTTTATACACTTGCCGGTAGTGCATTATCTAGAGCTGATCTACGAGCTGCACGTATACAATATTCATCAGTTTGTGTTATATTAGGTTCGAGAGGTACAGTGAAGGTTGACGACCCATATATGTTGGATAAAGAAGTGATCTTGTGTACATTGAATATTAGAGCAATGCAATTTTCTCCTTATCATCGTCATAAAACATTTGTACATAATGTTCATAAACGTCGGAGCGGTTCTGAGATTCCATTGATTACAGAATTAATGACAGACAATAACATACACTACTTAGATCCAGATCATTCAGGTGGATTACAGATCGCGGCTTCATTAACTGCACCATTTGCTAAAGGCATTGCGTTCACAAAATTTTTTCTTGTCGTTGTTAAGTCGGCTTTCCGAGAACTGCAACAGAGTCTCTGGAGGCCCTGAAGGAGCCAAAGAGTCTTAGCCAATCAGAGCACAATGGAGCTTTATAGAATGCCAACGTGGCGTGCTATTATTGGTCAGTAGCATAATATGTCTTTTAGCGGATTGGCCAAAATATGATGTTGATTTAACAAATGTTAACATCTATAAATACCTTGGAGTAAAGTACTTTTCGCATACTTTGCGCCTTCTCCCTCGTGTTCAGATCGCTGTATAGTTCTAGCTTGGGGGTTTTCAAGAATAGCTTAGGAATCGAGACGTGTTGGCAAGTACAGCATATTTTGATCGTAATTCAATGACACTAATACGTCATCTTGCGGCCAGTGGTGCAATCAGTGTGAGCGTATGCAGAGACAACGTGGATATAATGGTGTGTGTCCGTATCTTTTCGAGCTATTACTGTTCTGTTTTGTTGATACGTGAACAAGCAATTGTCTATCGGAAACCATTCTAACAGAGCCTGATATGCCTTTATCCTAACCCTATACCTACCACAGACAGTCTACTAGAAGTGGTTGCTTGGCCAACAATTACATAAAATTATGTCGCATTTCTTCATATTGACTATGAATTCAAATTAATGACCGTATTTATACTATGTATAGCCATGTCGGAGACTCAGCATACATTCATGATATTAGATTGTAAAATCCTAACTAGGGTAGCTTATTGTCCTATCTGACGCAAAATTCAGACGTTAAAATCTTCAATATGCAGTTTAGAACGTCATTTCGGAAGACCAGGAATAACATTTCATAGACTCAGATTGCATAAACTTATGACGCGTGATGACAAGGATATGTGCGAATTGTTGGTGGTGGGGATGGAAGTATTATCAAGAGTTGAGGAAGATATTTGACCGTGAAAAGGTTATCTCAGATGCTTCTCGAGACACGAGGGCGCACGTGATTTCCTGGCTGCTCGAACTGAGTAAGGATATTTTCCTAAATCTACTACAATTACTGTAAGAACCTGGTTTTTGGTAAGTTAGAAATAGCAAAATGCTCTTTGGATATTGTGATGAGGAAGGTGATTAGTTAGCTCCAGAATGCTACAATACTGACGCGCAAACGTACTGTTCACACAGAATTCGTTAGCTCATAATACATACAAATAGAAAGCCGTGAATTTTTAAGTTACTTAAGGCAGATAATAATAGTGGTGGATGGCCAATCGTAATCTGGCTAAATTATTAAAAATGGTTATGCACGGAATAGAAGAAGCTTTTGCTTAACAGTCTTCCGTGTCTAGTAGCAATGAATCACCAAAAACTCCAGACAGGAACCCAGGTATATTAACGATAAATGACGAAAAAGGAATTGGTAAATCATAGTAAGATACTATCCTTAGTCCTTAAGAATATGTCAAGTTTCCTCCTAAAGGACTTCTGGTAAGTCGCTCGGATTAACCCAGCTGGCAGCGAATTCCAGCACTTGACAACTCTAAAGAAGTAGAAGTGTTGTGTCTACAGTTTCTAGGTGTTAACCCTTAGGTTTTTATTGGAGCTAAACTTAAGTACGTGTTTAAGGGGATGTTCAAATGTGTTAAAGATACTGCGAGACATTAGAAGGTCACCTCTAAGACCCCTGTACTCTAATGGGTAAACGTTTAGCGATTGGACGCGCTCTTCATATGACTTGAATTCAAGTCCCCGAACTGATTTCGTGACTCGCCGTTGGATACGTCCCAGATTGTCCTTATCCTTTTGGAGAGAGGGAGGAAATACTACGTTTTCGTACTCTCAGTGGGGACGAATAAAACTGTTGACTTCAAATCGAGGGTACCAGCACTCCTAAATCTTCTTCAACTCTGGGTACTTCTAGAGAGGAGTTTCCTACGTTGTAAATGTAGTCTTCAACATGTCTCAGATGAACTACTTTACACTTTGAAGCGTTAAAGGTAAATCCTCTTGCCATTTTCCCAACTATGAAGTCGAGTCAGTTCCTCCTGAAGTGCCAATTCATCCTCTTGGTTACGTACTTATCAGCATATTTTCACATCACCAGGAAAAAATAATAAGTCAGACGATATCTGTTGTGGAAGATCGTTTATATAAATCAAGAAAATAAGAGATCCCAGTACTGAACCCTTGGGAACCCCACTTGGACATTCTATTGCCTGAGAGAGAGTGAAGATAACCCTGATCTTTAAATGCCAATTTTTTAGATATGGAGTGAGCCAATCAATTGAAGGTGATTTGATACCCAATCGTTTGAGCTTATTGATAAGACGTATATGGTTGCCATATCAAAAACTTCTGGAAAGTCAAAGTCAATCACGTCAACCTTCCCCTTGCGATCAAGGATGGTTGTCCATCTGTTCACCAGTCAGCAGGTTGGTCATACAAGAATGTCCCTTTCTGAAACCATGCTATTGGGGCGAATTCGGATTGATTTAGTTTGAACACTAGATGAATTCTTGGTACCAGTAACTGGCACGATGAACTCGGAAACAGCTGCCATATGTTGAGCACAATCCATCAAATTGAAATCACACATCAAGGACAGAAGATAGTCCCGTATGCATCACACGTATGTCCAATAATATGCGAAAGAACTAAAAATTCGAGGAATAAACAGTGAGGTTGTAGAATAATTCGTGGGTAAACATTATGGAAGTTGGATGTGCATTCAAAAAAAAACAAACAGAATCTACAGAAACATCAACATATGCACATATCAATATTCGTTGAATAAGAAACGTAAATAGTTTATTGACTTCATTAATAACATCTTAGCGTTGTGTAATAATACAACAAACGTGTTAACGGTAAACACAAGCAACTGCAACTAGTGAGATGGTGGAGAAGATTTGCAGCTCAGGTGGATGATTTTGATGGAGTTTTGTTCTCTGAGCCAGATGGTTTTGTCGTGGAACTTTCATCATCCTTCTAAACAACATCATCAGCACAAACTTCAGATAGAAGTTGAGTGTTCGGATTTTTCCATATACGTTTCACAGCTTGTTCTGTACACCATGATGTTGATTGGTTCTTATTGACCTTAAATTTGTCAATGTTTACTTCTTTGTTATGGTTGTGCCTCCCATTGGTCTGATTTTTGTTAATATATTTGAGCGCAATTTTCCTGATTGGTTGATAAATTGGATCGATTTTAATGTGCTTATTAATTGACTTGAGTTCCAGGCTTCTAAAAATGCTCTGGTGTCTTTGGAATTTTCTCTGTCCAAGATTTCCACATTTTTTCAATCGAATGAGTGTACGCAATTGTCCACGTGTATTCATACAAGTGAGGAAATATCATGGCGTATGACTGCTATTTAGTGTTCATGTAAGCGAAGGTCGACGGGGCGTCTGTTTTGCCCGATGTAGTGTTTTTCGCAGTTGGCACAATTTACTTTGTAGATGGTGTTTAACTTATCTTTCTTTGTTATTTCATCCTTTGGTTTGCATAAGATTGATCGCGGTGATTCTGTTGGTTTGTGTGCCCAACTTATCCCGAAGGTTTTTAGCAGT